ACACACACACACACACACACACACACACACACACACACACACACACACACTCACACCCTGTGTTGAAGAGCAGGCGCATCTGGCAAATGGCCTCAGGCTCCAAGCACTTCACTCCAGGCCCTGGGTAGGCAGAGTGTTTTGGCAGGTGGCTGAATGCCTATGGAATGTCACATTAAATCCCTGCTCAGCCTGTGGGAGGCCAGCATGGGGAGGGCCTCTAATGCCACATGCCCAGGGTGTGAGCAAAGAGCAGTGGCCCAGCCAGGTGGCAGGGGCTGCTGGGAATCTAACTTTAACCCTTCATTGGGCAGCACTCAGGAAACTGGTTGTGTATGCAAATGGCTTACAGGAAGGTCATTACAGCCCTTACAGGAAGGGCGCTGCGGGACCTTGTGGGCTCCTAGGGCCTTTGCTTCACTTTCTGTGGATGTCTCTCTTTGCCTATACATCCCCCGGCCTTATTGATGATGCTAAACATAATCTGTTCTCTTTCTTCTGCCAGCCTGAGAAGTCAGAGCATTTCTCAGTGTGGTACCCAGGTCACATGACATAGGTTTTCTAGCAACTGTAAATCACCTTCCCACTATACCACTGTGGTAAATGTTTCCCTTGAAAAACATTTTAAGAAAAAAAAAAAAAGATGTAGTTTTTAAAATATCTTTAAAAACAAATGACGGCTGTCTAAAATGAAAAGAAAGCTTGCCGGGGTCGACAGCTGGGAATTATCCAACCAGTTGAAAGTGTCTATCCTCTGGGGCTTAGGTGCTAGGGCTGGGGGTGGCCCCACTGAGGCACGGGCTCTTAGCTACCTGGTCAGTTTCTTGTAAGGTAAAAGCGGCCATCATGACAAACCTGCAGACTGCAGCTGGGCAACGAGGCCACACTTTAGAAATGAGCAGTGTCTGCAAGCACAGCCAACATTCTCCCCACCCCTGCCCCCGACTTCCAAGCATGCTTTCCCACCCTCCCTGTGGGTGCTAAATTCTTAGCAATTGGCTCTAGGTTGAGTGGGATGTTGGAGGTTCCAGAGAGAAGCTTTCTCCATGGTGTATAAACTCCCATTCTGGCCAATTTTATGCTACCAAAGAGGGGAGTGAAAACGTTGCTGGGAGGGCGCCTGTGATGGACTCCCATAAGCCGATGCAGGCTGACTCCAGCATCTTCTGCGCCGGAGCTTAACTGCTCCCTTCTACTGGGGCCACCATGGAGCTAAGGCCTGGATGTTCTTCCATCAAGTTGTGAATATGTGTGAACTGTTCATCTGTGCATGTGATGGGGGAGGGGGTGCGCCTTCCCTCCCACAGATTGCCTCTGGAGAAGTTGAGCTTTTCCCACCTGAGCACCGTGAAGCAGAGGGAAGTGTCCAGGGACTGGTCCCTCTCCACTGCTGTGGACATCCTCAGCTACTTGATAACTGCCCTGAAGGTTCTCACTGCATCCTCCCAGCCCACCGAAACAACAGTCATGAGTTCAAACTCCTCCCTGCTCCCTAAGTGGGATTCCTGTAGCTGGGTCATTTGGAGCAGGTGACTTCCTGCCACCCACAAGCTGTGTGACCTTGGATCAGTCACCTAACCTCTATTTATCTTAGCCTTCTCATACATATAAAAAAAGAGGTCATCATGGCCTCCACCTCAGTAAGCCCTTGAGAGGATTAAATGGGTTGGCCAGGTAAAGCAGGTACCTTCACAGGGCATCCCTGGAGAGTTGTGCTGTGCCTGGACTGACCTGTAGTTGCCCTTCTTGGAGGCCACGTGCAGAGGAAGCAGGCCATCCTTGTTGGCTTTGTTGGCATCAGCACCCTGGGAGAGAAGAAACTCCACCACGTCTTCATGTTCATTCTTGCAGGCTTCGTAGAGGGCTGATGCGCTGTCGCTGGCCTGTGTGTTGATGTCTGCACCTGGAGAGGGAGAAGCGGAGCCAGGAGCCATCAGTTCTGCCATAATTCAGTGCCACTGTGTGGTGAGCACCTCCGAGTTAACTACTGTGTACCAAGCCGTGGCTACACTGTCTGAATCCACACGAACCACTTGGAGGTCAAAGCTAGCGTACCCTCTTCATCATAGACCAGGGCACAGGACCTGAAAGGACTCAGGATAATCCACTCATAGATGTGCAGCCAAACTTGAACCCCTTTGGTCCAAGGGTGAAGGCTAGGCTTTTGGCCTTCGCTGTGCAAGGGCCCTAGGCTGCGCCTTGACAGCAAGGTCAGGTCCAGCTAAGCACAAAACTCCTCAAAGGAAACCCCACTGGGGTTGTTAGCTAGATTTGGAGTTGATGGTTGGTGAAGGCACACACTTGAGCAATGCTGGAGACCTGCCCAGGGCTTTGTGTATGCTGGGCAAACACTCTGTCAACTGAGTGGCCTCCTTAGGACTGGATTTGTTTCATTTTCTATCAGAAACAAGAGAGAAACGGCTTTCTTCATCCTCCTAAGGAATCACAGAAAGACTGGAGAGATGGCTCAGTGGTAAAGACTGTGTACTGCTCTTGCAGAGGGCGCTGGGTTCAATTTCTTAGCACACACATACTAAATCACAACTACCTATAACTACAGCTCCAGTGGACCTGATGCCCTCATCTGGTCTCTTGTGGGTCCTTAGACTCACATATACATAACACACACACACACACACACTCTTTTTAAAAACATTAAAAATAAATTTAAAAATGAAAGAAAGAAATCACTAAGCCTGGTGGCAGCCTGCCTGCCTTTATCTTGGTCTTCTCCATCTTCTCCATCTCATGGGGTGAGAGAGAGAACTGCTGTGCACATGATTTCTCTACAAAGGGAAGTAGGCTTTCGTGCTGCAGAAGCAGATGCGCTGAGATGAAGGCTGAGATCAAAGGCTTGTGTCGACCACAGCTCTTCTCATAGAACTGTCTGCTCATTCCCAGCCTTTCTGATTACTTCATTTTCAACAGCAGTGGGACTCACTCTGGCCTTTTGAGAAGGGCACAGGCCTTGATGGCCCATTAGGACCATTGAAGGTTTTGTTTCATGACTCCCAACCTCTGGGGCCTTAGGTAGCTTTTAGAAGCCTTGGTTTACCTGTTTGTTAGCCAGGTGTCATGGTCCCACCCTGTCATGGTTGCTACAAGGTATAAAAAGATGGTGCCAGGCTCAGACACCACTCAGCCAGTGTCAGCTGTCTGAACAGAGCCAGGGAAGAGAATGGCCCTTCCCTCAGAGGGAGAGTCCAGGGACACCGTTAACAGGCCTCTGGGCCTCAGGGTCAGGCTCCCCAGCAGGCCTAGGCTTGCCAGCAAAGCCTGCTCACACAAGGAAAATATTTGCATAGGAACCGGCTTTCACCCCCCATGAAGGGAGCAGTCCCTGTCCCAGTGTCAGCAGGGGACAGGACAGCTGCCTGGAGAGGGGAGTTCTCCTCACCCACTGTGCCCTTACCCTCAGCATGGCCTGTTGGCCTGAGCTCCAGGACCCTGCCTTGGCCCCTGTGTTCTCAGAGTGTTCATTGCAGTTATCTCTGGCTAAGAGCCTCAGTCTCTTCTGATACACACTGTGGATGTGGCCTCTTGTACCAATAAAGGCCCAGGGTCATTCTTCTAGGCTGAGATGCAGATACAGGTTGGGATCCAGGCTTTCATAGTGAGCAATAATTACGTTCTCTGAGCCTCAATCCCCTCATGTATACAGGAGGTTAGTGGGGTTAGGGTGATGCCTAGCCCACACTCTACCTATCCATCATAGGTCCATGCTTAGTAGGAGGCCTGACACACAGGAGGTCTTAACCAACTTGTTGCAGTGCAGCCCCAAGGTCTTTGCATGGCCTCAGCCTCTCCAATGTTCAAGAGGGAAAAGAAGCCACAAGGGAGCTTGGAGGGCATTGTGAAAAATACAAAGCCTTTTAGCCAGGTTCTTGAGGCCTTTGCTACTGAAAACATCGTGGTGCAAGTAGGATTGTTTTAATTTCTCCCATTAAGATTTTTTTTTTTTGGGGGGGGGGGTAGGGCAATGACCTGGGTTCAAATCCCATGCCTATCACTAACTTACTGTGTGATCTTGGACAAATCACTTTCCCACCCTTGTCCTTGGTTTCATCACCTGCAAAACAAGGATGTGCTCTTCATCTGAGGTCTTTCTGACCCAGCAGTGTGACGTGGCAGAAAGAACAGTGGTTGGGGCACCAGGAGTCCAAGAACCTAGATATCTCTACAGCTAATTCTGTAGATAAGCCACTTCCTCTTTCCAGTCCTCAGATTCCTCTTTTGTGAAAGGAGGATGTAGAGCTGAATCCGAGATGGTAAGATGCTTGTGTGTGATAGGCAGCTCAGAACAGCACCTCACCTCAGCTCTGCTGAGCCTAAACCTGGCCTCAGAATCCTCAACACAGCCCCGCAGAGCCCTGGATCAGAGGGGGCCCATGAGATGACCCCAGCACAGCTTTCCTTCCCAGCTGACCTCTGAGGACCTTGTCAGCTGTACCCTGTGACCACTCACCATGCTTGGCCAGGAACCTCAGAGCCTCCAGCTGCCCGCTCTGGGCAGCCACAAACAGAGGAGTGATGCTGTAGACGTTCTTGGCCTCCACCTTGGCCCCACCACTCACTAGGATCTCCATGACTTCCAGGTCATTGCGGGAGACAGACTCATGCAGCGCCGTCCAGCCCCGGTTGCAGCGGTGGTTGGTGTCTGCGTGGTACTGCACCAGTGTCCTCACTGCCTCTGCGTTCTTGCGCTCACAGGCTGGCCCAGGGAGAAGCAAGACAGTCAGCGTGGCCCTGAAGGTTTGACAACGGACTGCTGGAATCCTCCCAGCCACACTGGGAGAATGCAATGTCAGGACCTACCTACACCCGTAAATGAGGAGGGCGAAACACAGAAAGGGTAGGTGACTGACCCAGGGTCACACAGAGAGTAAGTGTCAGAACTGGGATTCAAACCCAGAGAGTCATGTCCAGAGACTCTGTCCCCTAGAATGTTCCCAACTCATCATCCTTTTCAGTGTTGCAGCAGACACCAGTGCTGGAAGAATCTAGGTAACAAAGGCTGCTCATTTACCTCAGGTTTATCTTCTGAGTACAACCCATCTCTCTCATCCTCCTCAAAACTCCCCTTCAACTTCCTCTGTCAAAAGACCTTGAATGTGCCCTTGGCTCTGGCCCATAGCTCTCACTAGAGAGCTAGAGAGGGTGTTGGAGTCACCAAGGAATGTGAGCCGATTAACGGATCTTGAAGCTTCCCTGGGAGGGCACCGCACACAGGGGGTGTTTCAAGCCTGTGGCGTTTGGGGGGATTCAGCTCTCCATCTCCTAAGCTCTGGTGCTCTCTCTAAAAACCACATAGCAGAGCCTTCCTAGAAGAGGCTGGGGGAAGGTCCACAGGAGGCCACACACAAGAGAGGGATGCCTGGGGCTTTGGGACAATAGCTGGTTCTCTGCTTGGGACAATAGCTGGTACTCTGCATGATTCCTGTGGCTCTTTGGGACAGCTGAGGTCCCATGGCTAAGGGCCCTCATGGAAGGTACTTCCATATTGGGTTCAGGTGCCTGCTCACTTGTCCTTGATACCTACAGAATATTATGTGTGCTGAATGCCAAGCCACAGGTGTGCCTTTGCCCCTTACGTATAAAATGGGGGCACTAGCAATGCTTACTGGGTGTGGAGATGAGCGAAAGGGCTTAAGGAAAATGCCTTGCCCATCACATAAGTGCTTAGTAGGTGCCAGCTATTGTCATGGGCTCTCTGTCCATCAACTCTGGGCCTGTCTGATGTAGCCAGTGCTAACCTTTGGACTAGTACTGAGCCAGCCAGGAGGGTTTTTGCTCACACACACATAGTGGAGGCATGCACTCACTCTCCTACCTTCTGGCCCATGCTGTCCCGGAGGATTGGCCAGCTCATAAGTGTCAGAACTGGGGTTCTGTTGTTGGGGTTTCTGTTGGGGTTCAGCTCAGGCATCCCTCCCCGAATCCCTCCCTCCACCCATTCCCATTCAGCCCATCACCAGGCCCTGCGTGCTTGTGGTCTGAGTGTGTGCCCATGCTTGGTATAGCCCAAAGACACATGCCACATCTTTTCCTCCCAAGGCTTCAGAGTCCCTCAGCATGCCGACCGGGTGGCGGGGGGGGGAGGACATTCAGGAACTGTTGGACTATCCCATGCATAAATGCAAGATCTAATTAACATGCACCTTGCATCTTGGAGGGATGCTCTGCTCTGCAAAGGGGGATCCTCAGAGTTGTACGTTCATCGGGGCAATCTGCAAGCTGCCCACCTTCTGGGCTTCCTGGTCCACGAGAAGGGACTCACCTTTGTAAAGCGGAGTCTCCCTTGATTTGTTAGAGATGTCAGGCTCTGCCCCCGCCTGGAGCAGCGACAGGAGGCAGTCCAGGTGTTCCCTGCATGCAGCCAGATACAATGCTGTTTCTTCCTGCAGTGTGCGCTGGTCAATGGTCCCTGGGTAGGCTGGGGGGAGACCAGAAAATCTGTGAAGAAGGACGGTACCCACTCTACCAACACAAGTGTTCCAACTTCCTCACAGCTCTGAGGATGGGTGTGGAACTGCGTCCTCTGAATTCTATTAAGCCAAGACTGCCGTCATCTTGTCCTGAATGGGCCTGCTTGGGTTTCTGGCTGTAGAAATAGAGCCACATGCTGCCTCCTCTGGGAAGCCTTCCCAAGTTGAGCCCCTAGCTCTGAAGTGTCTATTTTTCCTTTGCCCTTTTTTTTTTTCACTGTTAGAATGGTGATGTCCCATGTAAGTTTTTCTCCAGGTGTGGCTGGTGGGAGTCAGGACGAATCAATGGCCAAGGCAATGCTTGCCTGTTGGCATTATCAATCCTAATCTGGCCTAACAGAAAGATGGAATTTATAGATGAGGTGGAACTGACCCAAGGTCCCACAGTCGGTGGGGCAGCCTTGGCAGTGCACAGACACAGTTGTGGTTCTTCCCACACCAAATCAGCCCCTGGAACATTCTGAAACAAGCTGGAAGTGGCTGTCCCAGAACTCTGCCCCTCCCTCTTTCTTTTCTAAGAATCAGGTTTTCTTGTCTGAAAGGTGAGGGGCAGGAGCAGGAACAGGGAGAGGCCTGTCCACCCCCACCCCCTCACCCCTGGGGAAACACAGTGATTGCAACTGTGTTTGTGGAAACCATTACATGGCCTGGCCCACTACACACACACACACACACACACACACACACACACACACACACACACACACACA